CTGGGAATGGTGATTAGGCGCACTGCGGAAGGTGTGGCGTTGCATCAGCACCCCTGGATTGAAACTGAGTTGGAGCGACGCGGGTGGACCACGGTAAAGGGAGCAACCCACCTTCCAGAAGTGGTGGAAGGGCAAGCGGAACCAGCACCTCGTGATGATGCGTATGCCTCTGACTTGCATCGTGCGCAGTCTGAGGTGGGATCACTGTTTTGGGTGGGGCTGCGGACGCGGCCAGACCTGCTTGCAACGGTAGGAGCGTTGTCATGCATGAGCACGGTGGACCCGCGAAGGACGTATAAGCTGGCAACACAGGTATGGAGATACCTAGCCGGTACTAGGAACAAAGTGCTTTCATTCAAGGCTGGTGGTGATCTTCAGGAAGCAAAGCTCTCGATTTTCGGGGACGCTTCACTTGCCCCAGGGGCATCGAGATCACGGACAGGCGTGGTCGTGAAGTTCGGCGGCTACGTCATTGCTTATCGCACTCAGCGTCAATCCTTGACTGCATTCTCTGCTTTCGAGGCCGAGGTGGAGGCATCAGCAACGGCATATCAGTTTGGGACGCAGGTGAAGATGTTCTTGGATAAGTTTCTGCAGAAAAGTGTGGATACCGAGCTGTTCGGGGATAATTCTGCTTGCGTTAGCAACCTCACCAAAGGATCCGAGTATGTGCAACCTACCCGAACGCGCCATTTTGGCATGCGCTGCTCGTACTTGAGGGACCACCTTCGGAATGATGGCATTCCGATGTCGCACATGAGTGGTGAGTTGATTCCGGCGGATGGATTGACGAAGACTCTTTCACGAGTCAAGCTGGAAGCATCGAGGGAGAAGTTAAATGTTTTGTGAGTTCATGCCAAGCTCCGGTCCTGGATATGGGTTCGGCGCATTATGAGCTCTAATTGCTGCCCTAGCCGAAGGAATAGTCCAGCTGTGGGTGGTTGCATGTTTTTGCCATTTGAGCACACCATGTGAGCGTCCAATCATCACCTCGTTAAGCGAAGATTTGACGAGGAGGAGTGAAGGTGTGCCGGCATGTGCAGGTTAGCATGGCCCCTGCGCAAGGAAGACACGGCATGTGCAGGTGAGCATGGGCAAGGAAGACACGCCACGGGATCGT